GTTAAACTTCCATACCCACTTCTGGGAGAGTCCAGAGCAGTATACTATGAATAACTACTACTGTCTCTTGTCTTCTTTGGTCACAATACCAAAAAGAGGGAAAAAAGGAAGTTTTGTTTTGTTTTTAATGTTTTGCTTTAAAACAATCAGTGATTCTAAGACAGCGGCTGGACATTATTTTTCCATCATGGCTCCCTCACCTTTTAAACCCTCCATGGAACAATAAAAAAGACAACCCAAAAACAATTAAAAGGATTTAAAAATTATTTACTCTTTTATTACAATAAATATTTATCAATAAAAGAATTAAACGATTTAAACTAAAACCTACTGCATTACTTTGGAGTTCACAGCAGCAGAAATAAAACATAAATCCAGTTGAAAGGTCAAGGCTTCTAGAATCCAGTGACAAGAAACAGTCAGATCTTAATTATCTGGGTTAGCAGCAGGGAAGAGTAATACATATAATGCAAAAATAACATTGAAATGCACTGAAATTGTACATCAAGTTATCTGAGACTTCACAACATTCTGGTGAAGTAATTTAAGCAAATTGCAAAGCTCCACTTCTGCAAGAGCTTTCCCCAGGGAGCCCAGGAAAACAACTCTCCCACAGCCGCCTTCTAGCCAGAAATAGGCTCACTATGGTGCAGATCCAAAAGCCTCAACCCTGGTGGTGGGAGCAGCCAAGTGTCTTTATAGCTCACACAATCCCTGGTTAAAGGGGCATAGAAAGTAACATATTTTAAAGGGCTTTCTCAAAGACTGAGATGAACTGAAAGGAAGAAAGGCTATGGCTCCAAACCAGAAGAGGCTTCAGAGTTACAGGCCACACATAAACCAAGTCCACATGAAGAAATTATCTAATGAGGGCTTATCATCTGGCTGATAATCAAGAGTACACCCCATGTATACACGATATCATACATACATATGCAGAAAATATGTGTACATATTAAATATGTCTATATACAGAGAGCACACATAACCAGATAAAATAAATGTTACAATATTTACTATGAACACAGCAAGTCCTAGAAAGACCAGTTACTAATGTGTTCAATTAAACTACATTAAAGGGAAAAGATTTTATGCTCCTCTTCATCTTTCTAATATATTCTCTATTTGTAGCAAACATATTCCACCTGCTCCAGCAGTGCTATTTCTAGGTACCTGAGAAGGAATGAATTATCCTTTTTTTCAGAATACTTCAAAAGGCCAACTGTAACAGGACTGAGCTACACAACTCAATAATTGACTTGGCCATGATTCTTACCACCTATTCCTAGTCACAGGGCATGAAACTCTACTCAGCAAAGTATCAATTTCTTTTTCTACAACTTGTCACAAATTGTAGGGGAAAAGGCAAAGGCAGGCAGCAGGGAGTTTATACCTTGGCAATTAATCATTTCCTTCCCCTTGACCTACAGGTTATCTGATATTAAAACATTGGAATCTGGAGTCCAATTCAGCTCTCTTGAGATATCCTGAAGTGAGCAAATCATTATAGGTAGCTGGGTCTTTATCTCCTAAACGGCTGCTCTGATGAGGTAAAGTTATCTAACAAAATAACCTACCAAAAAAATTTAGTATTGTAAGCAGTCTCAATTAGTAGTTATTAAACTTAGATAAAGTCTGATACTGAATGATAACAGTAATTCAATTGATGATACAGGAGTCACAGATCTTGCCAAATCAAATCAGGCTTCTTTTATAACCTGATTAGTAATATCAAGTACTAACGAAACATATTCCAGGTCAAGAACTTACTCTTCAGGTATTATAAACTGCTCATCAGGAAGAACATCACAATCTAGAATTCATGGCCAATTGTATATGGTTTAATAAAAACTCGAAATCAGCTATCATTTTAACTCTTACTCACAGAAACTGATTAAGGGAAGACCTTACATAACCAAAGAGACCGAAGATACCCATGACACTCAGCCACTCCCTGTGTCTTCAATACTGTCTCTGATTTCAATTTTTAGTGTATGTGTTGCCAAAGTGAGTGTTCCGTCACTATTACAATGTCGCATTTGGGTTCCCAATGGCCATGATCCAATCTGCATGCTTTAAAAAGAGCACTACTCAGCTCAGCTTTCTAAGAATGATTCTCTGAAGAGGAAGACAATGTAAATGGTCTATGGAAGAAGAGAACCACCCTTACATTGTATCCAAATGGATTTTCCTAGAAAGACAAGCCCTTGCTAAAGTATTCACAAATCAATCCATGCGGCACTTTTAGTTCTGGGAACCTGGTTTTCCTGACCAAATGCAACATAACCCCTTTGATCAGGCTACCCATGAGGGTGCTCTGAATGGCAAACCTTTTTTTGCTACCCTAAATATGAACTCATTTAAGATCTGTCTGTATAAAGAGCAGATCTCTGCTTAAAAACAAACAAAAACCAGTTAGATTACTATCTCTTACATATTTGTTTATTAAAGAGCAAAGCATATTACTAGCATGCAGGTTAAAAAATAAGGTTATCTTTATTTTGTACTGTAGAAATGAATCAGCCAACATATCCAATTTCTATGGTTCCATGCAAGGAAGAAACAAACATATCACCAATTTCTCTGAAAAACAGTTAAACAACCATGATTTACCATATATCCTAAAGTAATTGCCTGCCATATCAGTCATTTGTACCATTGTCAAAGATAAAGACCAAAATATACAAATCACATGGGTTACATAATAAAGGAAAGTTAGAAATTTATGTAAGCTTCCTAAACTGCCCAGAGCACCACACTTTCAAGTTTCACAGTGATTAACTTAACACCACTTTACAGTTAAGACTGTCACTTTAAATATACATGTCAAAGTGCTTCAAATGCAGCATACTAGTTAAAATTCCTCCTGGAAGGTTATAGTACTGGCAGTTAACTTAGTAAGGTTATTCACCCACAGGGTGTTCATGAAAGGGCAGCTGCCTTACAAAGAGACCTCATGGGATAAAGAAAATTCTGGTCTGACTTCACGAATTTTCTATAGAGCAATCGATCAAGTCCAGAACTGAGGTCAAGATAAGGCCACTCTGAACACAGGCATCAATACAACCAAAGATTTCTGAATCGTTTTTGGCTTATTTTGGGACCCAAAGTCAAAAGTCCCAGTCCATCAGACTTACTTTTTCCCTCTGACACGTTCTCAGTCTTTGACTAATTATGAGATCTAAGGCAATCAAGAAAATCTGAATGTAGCAAGATCTAGAAGCAACAAAGCAAGGCCTGAGTGGGCTGTCTCTGTCGTCGTAAGTGGTGGCTAGTTGGGAGGAAACCCAGGTGAAGAATGAAAAAGATGAATTAATTCCAGTTAAAATATAAAAGGGAAAGTAGTCTTTGATTTAAACACCTACAGATTATCTTTTTATTCTCTATGGGTCACAGAGTCAAAGATATATTCCAATTGACTTTTGACTCACTACAAAATAAACCAGTCCTTTGAATACCAAATACAGGAAACTTCCAAATTCATGAAGCATTAAGGTGGTCCCTTTTTCCCTTTAAAACATATACTTCAGGGCTGGGGTTGTAACTCAGTGGTAGAGCACTTGTCGCGCATGCGTGAGGCCCTGGGTTCAATCCTCAGCACCACATAAAAATAAATAAATAAAAATAAAGATATTGTGTTCATCTACAACTAAAAAACAAAATTCTTTTTTAAAGAAAACATATACTGTGGGTTGGGATGTAGCTCAGTGGTACAGTGCTTGTCTCAGCACACACAAGGCTCTAAATTCAATCCTCAGCATCATTTAAAAAAAAAAAAAAAAGAAAAGAAAAAGACACTACACTCTTTTCCTGTATATTCCCTGAATACCCAGGCTCTGGGTGATCATTAACACTCTTTTGGTATCAACTTAGAATTTAGGTAACTCCATACACACACACTCCTCTTCCCAATACTTCTAAATGAGAATAAATGACATATTCATGGTAGTACAACATTCTAGACCACAATTAACATTTAACCTTCCCAAAATTAGAATTAAAAGTATTTTAGTCATAATATGAAAATGCCAAAGAACAACATTTACCTTGTTATTTTGAAAGTTACACACTCTATTGCCTGAAACTGAAACCCATAAGCTACCTCTATTACTATTTGTGAAAAGACACTTTGTAATTTGTACAATGCAGTGAGATCATGAATATTAAAGGACCAAAAAAAGTAGCAGTAGCATATTCTTCCAGGTATTTTTAAACTTTTCTATCCCATATACCATCTCAAATATAGGGGAATTATTTTCTTACAAGACTGAAGGGGCATTTTTCATGCCATAAGCTGAAAAGAAACCTCGTACAAGTATATGTGACTTTGGTCAGCAGAAACACAATGCAAACCTCTGGCCTGGCTAAGGCACTCTATTCTGCCAAGTACAGAAAACACGCATGTATGCTCCTGACCATGGTGGCAGTGCTCCCCACAATGCAGCCAGTGTGTGCTGGGGAGAAAGGCTGGGGTGTGAACTCACCCAAAATTTCATGCAAAAGCTTGAAACATCTTTTATACTTTGGAAAGGTTTGAGTAATCAGTATGATAGAAATGCACAGAGCTACTGGTAATTAAGTCCTATATCAGCTGCTATATCACTATACACAACATGGGGGCTTTCAAGATGCACCATCAAGATGGCAGACTAAAACAATAGAAGGGCAGCAGTATAGGAAGGATTAACACAAGTCCACAGTATTCTGGAACAGTCAATTGTTCAGTTTCCCTTATTGACAGCCTCCTTTCTTTCACCCACGGCATAATTCCTTACCACCCCAGGAAAATATGTCATAAAATATAGGCACAAAACACCTTACAAATAGTCTTAATGCAACAAAATGTGGGCAGAAACATATTCAGAAGTAAAAGAGTCTCAAAATTACAAGCCATAACCTAAAGGACCCTAATGACAGAATTAAAGAGGTTTTCTTGTTTGTTTGTTTTAAATACACTATACAAGGTGGAAAAAAAAAATGTGTGGTCCAAATTTGTCACTTTATAAACATTTATCAGTTATTTTAAACAAATTAATCTCATCCTTGAGTACAAGGTCAACAAAACAGTAAAAATGATTAGGTAAGAAATCTTAAAACAAAGTTTTTTCCCCCACTTCAAATGAATACTTAATCCAATTAAATTTTACAGGTGATACAACAAGGTGAACACAAAACGGTTACCTTCACTTAACTGGTTCATTTCTTTGACCTGCATGATGGCGATTTATTAACAAACATGGATTCACTATACATATTTATAAATTACATCAATTCTCATCTATTTTCAGTATTCACTTTTTTCTCAAAGAAAGTCACCAAAACTAAACCTTTACAAATTATTTTCTTAAATGAGTAGGAAGCTACTTGACTCACTTATAATAACCTGGATGACAATGATTAGAATTTAAAATTTTAAAAACAAAATATCAATTACAGTTATTTTTTTTTTACAAAGCAGCAGACTGAAACTCAACAAAGAAATATGCTATAATTTTAACTACAGTCACATTCATAAATAATGGTTAAGAATATAATTACATATCAACACAGTGGTGCCTATTTTATCCAAGTGCAACCTGTCCAAAAAGAAATAAGGGTTTAAGATACACTCTTCATTCAAGCACAAACTTCATTCAATGGAAAATAAAAAGAAAATCAGCAAGTAAATTTCACCACCACCAAACTAAATGAAGACAAAGTCAAAGAAACAGAGAATAAAATATCCACATTTATGAAAAGATATGATTTATAAAATGACCACAATAAAGGTAAAGTTTTGTTATCAATAAACCTTAAAAATTACTCCAAGTCATATTAAGGAAATAGGTACTGGGTAAGGCATATATATCAAAAGTTTTCTTCAAGTGGAGAAGCGGGCAGGTTTGGGAAGAGAGTATTTCTCTCTGTTTTATCCCATATGAAATAAAAAACACAGCATTTCACCCCCAAAAGGAGAGTGAGAGAAAGCAAGGAAGGACAGACAGACAAACTGAGTCAGAAAACTAATTTTGTTCATAGCGAGGTTCATGAGATTCCTAACTCTAATTTAAATCTCCTCTTAGAAGGTGCTTTATCTGCATTTCTCACAAGTAATTATCAAAGACTGGGGACTGTCACACATATTCTTACAATCATAGCTCACAGGCACCAAATCCTAGCAACCTTCAGCTGAGAGAGAAAATGCCACACTTAAACCATGAACCATGCCAATGGATGAGCTATAATTACAACCCATTCTCTACTAAGTATAAACAGAATATTTCTCTTTAAAAGAAATTTAAACCATTTATCAAAATCTATTCTGTAATAAAGACAGCCAGAATACTAGAGAATCTCTTTGCCTCTGAGGACAAAAATCATTTCCATGGGAAAGAGAAACCAAGATTTGGCAACCGCATACTGTTCTGTAATAGTTGGCATCTCTGGCTAAAGGAAACTTGCCCCCCACCCCCCGCCACCTTCCCTGCATATTATACTTGAGCTATTGATAATTTCCACAGCTAATGCCTACTGTGAAATACCACGTGTGAAAACTGTGGTTTTCTGAATATTATCAGTGTTCCTAACTAATTTGGGGTTTTAAAAATAAAAATAAAACATCTTTAACTCTGTATGAGCCAAAATATTATGGACTCATGAAGCTAAAATCACTAGAAGAGTTTTGCTGGTCTAATGAACATTATGCTTAACCAAAATATCACATGGTTTTATAAAAAATAACGTAAGTTGGGAGTTAGAAGTTCCAAAATTCCACAAGTTCAGATCATGTTTCATTCCTGCTGTCCAAGTACCACACATACTGAGATTCCATGTCTGTCAAGCAGATCAGTTTAGTTCACTGGTGATGGATGAAATATTTACAAGCATCTATTTACAGTATTTCTTTCTGAAGATTACAGGCCAATGTTCTTTTCTTCCATTCCTAGTCAATCTGAGTTGGGTTTCTTCAATGAGAAGGGATAAATTTGAAAATGGCTGCTCAGCTGCTTAACCTATGAAAAATCAGAACACAAAACAGTGACAACTACATACTGTACTATTTTTTAAAAACAAATGAAATTCACCTCTGGAAAGAATTACTGACACAGTAAGTCATCAGAAATAACAAAGAGGTTCTGCTAGATTAGAATAGCTCAAGAACTAGTTAGGTAGCTAAATGGGAGTACTAGAACTACCCTGAGATAGTTAGAACTTGAACCTGGGTCTGCCTCGCTCCAAAATCTTGTCTTTCCAGAGCCCTCTAAGCCAGACAAATTCATATCCAAATCTACTGAAAACTGCAAGATTACCTGAATTATAATATCTAGTAAATCAAATAATTATATCTATAATTAGATACAATATTCAGTTTGAACATTTCTAGGTAATCATTCCTAATTCCTGATGAACTAGTATAAAACTGGATCTGTTAATTTAGAAAGTCCATATTGGTTAGAATATTCCTAGTAGGTAGGTAAAAACATTGTTATATGCCAGCTAACAGATGTCATTTATTTGATATTTATCATAGTATGTATGTTTCAGCAGCTCAAACGTTTTATGTGGCCTAGCAAGTTTTACCTTCTGGCCAGAAGTTATAGACATGATAAACAAGCAAAAAAGACAAGAAAGATGCTCCCAGAATTTCTCTCAGTAGCTTGATTATTCCCCAGATTTTTAAAAAATATTTATTCTTAAGTTTTAGGTGGGCACAATATCTTTATTTTACATTTATGTGGTGCTGAGGATCAAACCCAGTGCCTCATGCATGCTAGGCGAGCACTCTATCAGGCCAAAACCCCAGTCCCTATTTCCCAGATTTTTAACCATGTGTACTACCTTTAAAGAAAAAAATGTGTTTTAATTTGTTATATATATATGGTTTTCTAAAAATATGCTTCTGAAGGGCTGAACAAATTAAAACAATTTCAAAAGACATTAGCAATTATTTTATCACATTGATAAAATATCAAAATAAGGGTCCCAGAGTGTTGACAGAAAACATGTTAAGCCAGATGTGGTGGTGGACACCTGTAATCCCAGTGGCCCAGGAGGCTGAGGCAGGATTGCAAGTTCAAAGCCAGTCTCAGCAACTTAACGAGGCCCTAAGCAACTGAGCGAGACCATTTCCAAATAAAATATTAAAAAGGGCTGAAAATGTGGCTCAGTGGCTAAGTGCCCCTGGGCTCAATTCCTGGTACCCCCTTCAAAAAACAGAAGAAAGAAAACATGAAAACATGTTAAACTTACACAAATATAAACATAAATGATTATGCCTCATCAGATTTATCACATTCTCTTTTTCCATAACAATTTAATCTATTTTGTTCTAACCAATGAGGGTTAATTTGGGGACAAGCACTAAGGGAAGAAAGCCCAAGTTTAAAAATATGTGCAAGGTATAAAGTTTTTCACAAGCATGACACTGTCCCCCTATTTTAAAAACGTGTATGAGAATATAGAAGTAAAGACATTTTGTTTCTCAAACCAATTCACAGGAGAGTTCTCTTAGAAATAAGAACATCAAACAGAAGCACTTTAAGAGCCATAAAATGTGAATATCCTTTATATAACGCCATTCCTATGAAATTATTCTCTGAATATAAAACAAATGGAAGAAAAAAATATTATTCCAGATTGTTCACACCAGCATTATTAATAATGATGATAATTTGAAAATAACCTAAATTATTAAAATAACTGGGTTATGATTAATAAATTATGTAATGATTAAGTAATCTTCCCTGACGAAATATTGTGCAGCAATTAAAATTCAACCATGAAACTGTGCTAAAATATGTATTAAGGTTGGTAAACACTTCTTAAATCCATTTCCTTTGATCTTCCCCCTTATTTATTATTCTGCTGATAAAGTGAAGCCTCATATGATGTAAAAGCTTTCCTCTACTCCGAAATTTTAATTCCCCTAGTACATTGTTCAAATTGAGCAGGGGAGAAAAGAAGTGCTACAAAACCAAATTATGTTAATGAACAATAAAAAAGCCCCTAACGCAAGTGAAGAAACAGATAACAATGGGATTATCTGGTCCCACATAATTAAAAGCACAAAATAGTTTATAATTCTACTCAACAAGATTATGGCTAGATATATACTCATTTAAAATAAGAACTAATACATAATAATTATCCAGCTTTAAAAGCATTTATAGTTATTATAACTTAATCATTAGAAAAACAATACCTGATATTGCATTATCTGGACATTATCTCAAATTTAGGGAATATCCCAAAATTCTTTCAGCTACTACAGTAATTTCTTTTAAATTTTTCCATTGCATCTTTTTCACTATTTATAAGAAACAAATAAAACCAGCTTTACTTGATTACTCACCACTCGTACTCCATAATGGATGTGGGCCAGAGTAAAGCCAGTTGTTAATAAATACAGGAGAAGACTCTCCAGGTAAGAGGCTACTCCCAGGTTCACTGCTATGACAACCAAGAAGAGAGGAACCAGCAACCAATTCAAAGTTGGGCACCGTGTGCTGCTCATTTGACAAACAATCAGCTGACACTTGAAGTTGGTTTGAGAAAAGAAAGTTTAATTAGCAAAGCACTTCCAAAACTAGTCAGTGCAACATTTAAAAACTATTCAAGAACTTAAGCCAACACATTTACATTATCTTAGTAGTTCTCAACTATTCAGGGGCCCAGCTGGACTCCAGACCCAACCCCCCACACACAGAGCCTCAGAATATGTCAGAAGAGACTGGAAAAAGCCTGATGCGATGGCACATGCCTGCAATCAGGAGGCTACTAGGGAGGTTGAGGCAAGAGGACTGCAAATTCCAAGGCCAGGTAAGGCAACTTAGCAAGATCCTGTCTCAAAATAAAAAATAAAAAAAAGGGCTGGAGATGTAGCTCAGGGTGAAACACCCCTGGGTTCAATCCTCAGTACCAGACATGTACACACACACACTCCAACTCACACCAAAAAAACCTGCAAATACTACTGAAGTCACTAAATCCTATTGGTTTCAAAGAGCACAATAAAATAATTATCAACATGTTCTGTCCTGAAGTTATTACTAAGTTTCTGATTTAAAATATTTAAAAATCTGCTTATTATAATACTATGTGAGTTCTCAAATTATCCACTTGTCAATATTTCTAAAATAAAAATTGTGTGTGTGTGTGTTTATTTGTTCTAACTGGTTATACATGATAGAAGAATGTATTTTGACACATCATACATAGATGGAGTAATACTCCATTCTGGTTGTACATGTGATCACTATGCACATAAGGTAACAATGTCCGTTTCATTCTACTATCATCCCTACCTCCACACTGTCTGTGTGTTTTGTACTGGAGATTGAACCCAGGGGCACTTTACCACTAAGCCATATCCCTAGTCCTTTGTAGTTTTATTTTGAAACAGAGTCTTGCTAAATTGCCGAAGCTAGCCTTAACTTGCCATCTTTCCTGCCTCAACCTCTGGGATTATGGGTACACCTCACTGCATGGGTTATAGATTATGATTTTCAAAAAAAATTTTTTTGGGGGGGCTGGGGATATGGCTCAAGCGGTAGCGCGCTCGCCTGGCATGCGTGCGGCCTGGGTTCGATCCTCAGCACCACATACAAAGATGTTGTGTCCGCCGAAAACTGAAAAATAAATATTGAAATTCTCTTCTCTCTCTCTCTCTCTTTAAAAAAAAAAATTTCATTTGTTGGTTTTTTTTCTTTTTGGTACTAGGGATTGAACCCAGGGGAGCTTTACCACTAATCCATATCCCCAGCCCTTCTAATTTTTATTTTGAGACAGGGCCTCATTAAAGTTGCTTTAAGCCTCACAAGTTGCTGAGGATGGCCTCAAACTTAGAATTCTCCTGCCTCAGCCTCCCAAGCTGCTGGGATTACAGGCATGCACCACTGTGCCTGGCTATATGATGATTTTTAAAAGAAATAAAATATCTTACTGTGATGTTGGCAAAAGCTGTTCCAACCATAAAGTAGAATACTCTAGGATGTAGCTCTAAAATATCTGAAGGTGACCAGAGGATCCAGGCTGTAGACAAAATGAAGAGCAAACATGGAGAAAAGAAGGGAACCATAGCTTCATAGACTGAATTGTGTTTCAAGGTGTTATTTTTATAGCTTCTGGAAAAAAAAAATCAAGTAATACAAAGAACATTATTACATATAAAACTTATATAGTACTTTGCCATTTCCAAAGTACTTTCACATTTCTTCTCTTATTTTACAATCATAATTATCCTATGGCATAGATAGAGCCACATTATTATGGCCATAACTTCACAGCCAGGGTGAAAATAAGAGAACTAAACTTATATAACCTGATTCAAGAGGCATGGCCAGTATTTTGGCACCTGGTCCCTGTCCCCCCACCCCCCGCCTCCTTTTTTTAAAATACTTTTTTAATTGTAGATGGACACAATATCTTTATTTATTTATTTTTATGTGGTGCTGAGTTTCGAACCCAGTGCCTCACACATGCAAGGCAAGTGATCTACCACTGAGCTAAAACCCCAGTCTTGCCTGGTCCCCTTTTTAATCTCTTTAAACCAAATTATCAATTGCTGTGTCAAGAATGTAAAGATGAATACAATTTGGTCTTTGTTCTGTGAAATATTCTAGTAGGCGAAACAAAGTGAATATGAAATAGCAGTATTACTTTAATACATTAAAAGTAAGATGTAATGCACACAAAGACCCCGAAATAAGACTGCCAATACCACATCCTGGTATCTGTAAACACACAGCAAGTAATCCAATATGTTTGCTCATCTAGACACACCCCCAAATTCCAGTCCTGGTTTTTGCTATGGGTCACATGACCCTGGGCATTGTGTTGTCCAATTAGAATGTAATCATTATATTCTGAGGGGGAAATGACTCAAATAATCTCTACAGACTTAGAACTCCAAATTTTATGGCTTCTATAAATGATTACCAGTCACAATAAATAGGGAAGATTCAAGAGCTTAGCTTGACATGGATGTAATTCTGTGAGACACAGAACTAAAAGATGAAGGAGAAAGTTTCAACTAGAGGAAACAGTAACAGAGGAAACAGCAGGAAAAAAAATTACTGAGAAGGGAAAGATCCTACCTCCCAACTCTTTCCCCTAAAGGCAGGAATTTCTATGCAACTGCTATTTGAGAAAAGCCAGCCTAAGTCCAATTTTAACCTACACACATTCAAAAATTATTATTTTATACTTTTGTTAACTATACTTACAGATAATCAACTTACAAAATTGAATGTAAACACATCAATATTTAAGAGGAAGATACTCTCTCACTGTCAAACTAAAAGACTGGTGAGCACAAAACCATAAAAAAAGAACTAGTAATTCTGTGATATGGTTGAATTGACTACATTAGCCAAAGATACCCTAATCTCATTCTAGATTCAAAATTCATATTTCATAACCATTTCAAAATGTCCAGACTCAGAAAAGAAAAATAGATCCTAACAATTGCTGAAATTTTTCACATTTTTTTGCCCAATTAAAAAATAAAATACTGGGGCTGGGGTTGTGGCTCAGTGGTAAAGTGCTCAACTAGCAAGTTCGAGGCCCTGGGTTCGATCCTCAGCACCACATAAAAATAAATAAAATAAAGGTATTGTGTCCAACTACAACTAAAAAATAAATATTTAAAAAATAATTAAAAAAAATAAAATACTGGGCTGGGGATAAAGCTCAGTTGGTAGAGTGCTTGCCTCACATGCACAAAGACCTGAGTTCAATCCCCAGCACCACAACAAATAAATTAATTAAATTAAATACTTACCTGAAAAAGTTTAATAAACTCATTGGAAGAGTCACAAATATTGCACAACCTAAAGGAAAGAATACTTAAATTATCATGAATTATTAAAGAGTTAGTATATTATAATATCTGAATTCTTGCAAGATACACAATGTTTGTAGATCCAACAATTTTCAGGCTCAAGTTTATTTCTGTAATAAAAACTAAATACATTCCTAACAGCATTTACAACTGGGAGAGTGCCAGTACACTTGGGTGAGTCAGAGCACAGACTCTAGGAGCTAGTACCAGTGGTATCATCAATCACTTATGTGACTTCAGGCAGTCAGACTTTTAGTGCCTCAGTTTCCTCATTTACAAAATAGAGAGCAAAGTAGTGCCAACCCCATAGGGTTTTGAGAATATAATAAATTATTAAAGATACCTGGAACAGTGCCTGGTATACAGTAAATGGCAAAGTAAATGTGAGTTACTAGAAGGGGAGGATAATAAATGGATCTTGCTATTTTTTATTTACATATGCTTTTAACCTCCCCAGAATTTCCCATTTCTTCCCTCCCTATCCCACCCACACCACAGTTCTTCCCCCTCAAACCTAAAAATAATGATGGCCTTCCCAAGACATTCTATCAATGATTTCTACTGCCTTGTTTACTCTTATTCTGTCATTTCTTTCCAATTGCCACACTTTTCTGTTGTTTTCAATTTCTTAGCATTCTTTTATTCAGTCTGCCCTCTACTGTGCAGAAATACATTCTTGAAAAAGTTTTCCTAATGATCAAATTTAGTATGTTTTTTCATTCTTGACTTATGGTTTCATTGACTATATACTAACTGCAATTCTTTCCTCATTCTGCCTTTGTGATTCTGTTCTCCCAGTGTTCCTATTAACCACCTAACCATTTCATTTTGTCATTTCTTGGAAACTCAACTTCCTGCATATTCCTAACGTATTCCTAAAGGGGTGTTCCACTCGCCCTCAGAGTATTTTCTTTTAAAGCTTAACTACATGCTTCCAGCCACTGAGCAGTTATGTACTTTTGGGCAAATCAATCAATCCAAGTTTCAGAGTCCAGCAGTATAAGGATGGGTTAAATGATTTTCTAGTGTCCCTTACGTCTTTAAAAAATCTGAATCTATGGTCTATACAGTTGTAAATCCCTGATCCTTCCCTCTTTCAAACTTCAAATTAATACACACATCTCAAAACTTTCTGAACATTTCACTTCAATGTTTCATTATTGGTCCTAGTTTGTCTACTCCAGATTTCCAGGGACTATATTGGTGGTTTGAGGGTCAATACAGCTATCACTTTTAGGATCAACAGTAGAAAACATTCTTATTCCTAAGGTACTTGGCTAAAAACAGATGAAAAAACTAGAACCAGCAGAAATCTCCCCAAAGGTGAATTACTCTGCTACTTCCAAACTTAACTGGAATAAAGTTTGCCAAATCAGATTATATTAAAGGGAAAAGAAAAAACAAACTGATGACCTTCATGCCCTCAAAAATGTTTAGTAGCTTATTCTATGTCAAGCTGGGAAGTACTGAGGGGAACCAAGGTTAAGTGAATTAACCCAGGATTTCTTGTAGTTCCAAGTAACTGGAAAACAGGTGTTGAAAATAGTTGATGGGCTGGGGTTGTGGCTCAGCAGTAGAGCACTTGCCTAGCATGTGCAAGGACCTGGGTTCAATCTTCAGCACCACATAAAAAAATAAATAAAATAAAGGTACTAAAAAAAGAAAATGGGTTGAGATAAACTAGCACAAGATTTGCCACAAAGAGTAATTCTAGTTTTAAAAGTCTTGAAATAGTTTTAAGTATAGCAAACATGTGGAAAGCCTAAGGTTGCCAAAGAAAAGGACAGCATCTTCTATTCCTTCTCTCAACAGTACTTAACATACAATCTATAAAGAGTATTTAAATGTTTAGCTGGGCACAGTGGCGCACGCCTGTAATTCCAGGGGCTTGCAAGGCTCAAGCAGGAGGATCGCAGGTTCAAAGCCAGCCTCAGCAACTGGGTGAGGCCCTGAGCAACTTAGTAAGTGCCCCTGGATTCAACCCATGGTGCGCACGTGCACACACACACAAGGGCTAGATACTTAAAATATACAGAAAAGGAAATATAAATGGCTCTTAAACACTAGAAAAGTTCATTCACAATGTAAGAAATGGAAATTTTACAGACATATCTATCTGCACGCGTTTATCCTTTACTAACAATTCTACTAGTAGGGCTTTCTTCCACAATACCCTAGCAAAAACATGAAAAGACAGATACAAAACTATTCACTTCAGCAATTTGTATAAGAGTGAAAGACTGGAAGCAATCCAAATGTCTATCAATAGGAAGCTGATTAAACAAACTACTGGGTACATCCATGCAATGAAGTACTGGCCAGCTGTAAGAAGGAATGAGGAAGATCCTTACGTATAGTATGATCTCTCGGATATACTATTAAGTGGGGGGAAGAAACGAAAAAAAAAACAAAGTACATATAGAATGCCATGGAAAGGGGTAATAAAATGAAACATACACATATACACACACAATAAAAACATGAAAAAATAAGCCATAAAAATTAAACATTAAGAATGGTTAACTATGAAGGTAGAAATAGGGTAGTGATAGACACTATACTTTTTTTTAATACACTTATAAATTTGTCTTTGTACTCATGAATAGTTCACAGAATTATAAAGGAAAAATAAATTTCAAAAGAAAAAAGTAATTCTTGAAGTCAAAAGTGAAACAAACAAGCCAGGTGCAGTGGCACACCTGTAATTTCAGCAATTCAGAAGGCTAAGGCAGAAGGATCACAAGTTTGAGACCAGCCTCAGCATCTTAGTGAGACCCTCAGCAACTCACAAGACCTTACCTTAAAAAATATATATATATTTAAAAGGACTGGGGATGAAACTCAGTAAAAGCATCCCTGGGTTCAATTCTCAGTACCAAAGGGAAAAAAAAGACAAAACAAACAAATACACATAAATGTCCATGTCCACAACTGGTATCAAAACTAGAGTGGGAATTCTAAAATAAGTAACCTGATTGGACACTTATAGTGGAAGAAATGAAAGAACAAATGAAACTGCAAAAAAGCTGAAGATTCAAGATGGTGAACCCCAGAAGCAAGAAAATCACAGAGAGATCAGCACCAAAATCTCAGTAACAACTATACCCAAATCTATGGCTGACTACTAAATTATACCGACATAAGGAGCAGCTGAAAGCTGAAAATGTCAGCTATTATATACCCTGAGGACACAGATTTCTCAGGCTGAGTTCAATGTCTACTAGAAAAAAAAAATTAAAACAGATTCTAAAATCTCTATAAAAATTATCTACAATGTCTGACTAACAGACTATCTTTCTTTCTTTCAATGATGCTGGGGATCAAACACAAGGACTCAAACATGCTATGCAAGCACTATATCACTGAGCTATGTCCCCAGCATACAATGTCTAGTTTCCAACAACAAAAACAAAAAACAAACAAAAAAACCCTGCTAGATATGCAAAGAAATAGAAAAAAAAGGGAACCAACAGAAGCTGATTTTAAGTAGGCCCAGATGTTAGACTTGACAGACAGATAATAAAGGAGCTATTTTAAATATGTCCAAAGTGAGGTAGGAGAAAAGGTCAGATAGGAGAATCTCAACACAGACATAGAAAGTATAAAAAGAACCAAATTGAAATTCTAGTGCTGAAAAGTTCAATAACTTAGGGGCTGGGGATGTGGCTCAAACAGTAGCGCACTCGCCTGGCATGCGGGCGGCCCGGGGTTCAATCCTCAGCACCACATACAAACAAAGATGTTGTGTCTGCCGAAAACTAAAAAATAAATATTGAAATTCTCTCTCTCTCTCTAAAAAAAAAAGTTCAATAACTTAATTTCAAGATTCACTAGACAGGATCAACAGCAGTTTGGAGATGGCAGGAGGGAAAAACCGAACTTAAAGATGGACAGAAATCAACCACTACAAAAAATGGATAAAAAAAATGTTAAAGATAACTTAATAAAGCCTCAGAAAATCACCTGTATGACAAAATCAAACAAATCTGTGTAACATATGTGTAAGTGCAGTTTTGCAAGAAGATAAAGAATTAAGCAGAAAAAAAATATCTGAAGAAAGAAACTGTGGCTGAAAATATCACACATTTAGTCAGAAATATTAACTTATATTCAACACACCAAAAAAAGTCAACAAATAGGACAATGTGAAGAAAACTGTACCTGGGTACATAGTAGTCAAATTGTGAAAGACAAAAATAAAAAGTGACTCTTGAATCAACAAAAGAAAAATAACACTTTACACACCAGGTGACAATAACATGTGAGCTGATTCAGAAACAATGGATGCTGGAGGGCATTAGAATAATACATTCAAAATGCTAAAAGAAAAAAATTAAGGAAACATTTTCACATAAACAAAAACAAAGAATATACTGCTACCAGACCTGCACTACAAGAAATCCTGAAAGAATTCTTCAGATTTCTGAGAAAGAACACCAGAACCTAAGTCAGATATACAGAAAGGAATGAAGTACAGCAGAAATGGCAAACCCATGGGTGAGTACAAAAGACTGTATTTTATAAAACAGCCTATGGGTTAGATAGGAGCAGTGGTATAGTTGAAACAATGTTGCAACTGGTACTGAAAGCAGTTGAAGAAAAGTGATGATAACATAGGAACTAGTATATAAAAGTAGAAGGAACTACCATCAGTAATAGATGTTCAATTCTTTTTCGTAATAAATGGCAGTGGGGAGGCTGAATCCTCTACTTTGGTAGTCTGTCTGCTGTACCCAAAGAAGGCGACCTTCCACAGTGGCACAGAAAGCCACTCTACCTACTACCAACCTTTCATTAGCACTCCTCTCACACTACGGCTCCAGGCTACCCCAACCACTTTAGCACCACCAATTTTATCAGTAGAAACTAACTAGTATAAACCCTATGGTTCTTCTAAACAATCTATCTGCTGGGAAAGCTGTTTCACTTATTTGTGTAGAAACAAGTGGGGTTTTATTTTTATTTCAGAGGGAAGAATTAAGAAGAATGTAAAGCTTTAAAGAAAATTATGTACCTATTAAAGTAAATAATATTTTTAAATGTCTCAGATCAGACATATTTTTATGCCTTATCTTTAAATTGAATATTTAAATGTAAAATGCAGCAAAACTGCCATAAGAGAAGCTGCTTAAATCACAAGAGTCATTAAATTATAAAAGAAAAAAAGCAACATTTTCACGGTGAAGCTATTACAGTTCATAATGACACCAGAAAATGAACATTTGGCTTGTAATCCCAGTGACTCAGGAGGCTGAGGCACAAGGCTAACAAGTTCAAGACCAGCCTCAGCAACTTAGCAAGTTCCTAAGTAACTTAGGGAGACCCTGTTTCAAAATAAAAAATAAGAAGAGCTGGGGGATGTGGCTCAGTGGTTAAGTGCCCCTGGGTTCAATCCTCAGTACAGGGGTTGGGGGAAATGAACATTTAATAGATCATAGGGTAATTTCAAAAACATGTACCATCCAGAACCACAGGAAAAATGCCCAAAACCATTCCTTTTCTGAAAGTCAGTGACGAATACGATTTTTCACAGTTTCCAAGCCTGACCTAATTTCCATTCCATTATCAAAGTTAATCAACAGAACAAGGCAGGGTTGTTTTTTCGATAAGGGAACAGAGCAATAGCCTACATATATGTTTTCTACTTCTACAAAGGTCCTTAGTGCTATTCCTGGTGTCCCAAAACAACTTAGATTCCTCTTCCTCTAACCATACCATTAATACTCTCTTGTACTCAGTCAATTATCCTACAGATATCCCCTTTGGCTAAAATCAAAAGGGAAATATTACCACTATCAAAAACTCTAATCATTCATTGGAATAAAGAGGACATCTAAGAGGAAAAGAGGCTTACTTTCTCAAGTAGACAGATTAAACATCTATCTACATGTGAATCCTCTAATATAGTCTATATTAATTTGAATATTTCCTTTAAAAGGCTTGTGTGATCTATTTTGGCATTTCATATTTATTAGAAAAAGCTTCTTACTGAGCAAAAACATAAAAGAAATATTATTTTCCTTGATGTCTAAATTGAAATCCTACAGGTTTGTAGGACTGTTCTGCTTATTAGAGGACAGGGAGAGAGGCGTAACTTCTACTTATAGTCAATCACTGGCTTTTGAAAACAAAGTGATGGTTAAAACAGGCTTCGACATGGAGCTTCTTACCAATAATCATTGTTGTGAATAGGTCTCTATATAAGAAATTAAACAGGAAAGGTTCATACCAGGCCTCAACTCCCACAATTGCCGTCACTATGTAGACAAAAGAAATAGTCTGGAAAGAAAATACAGACAAAAGCATACAGAGGCATTAACAGTTGAAAAGCTCAGAAGCCAATATTGTTTTATGCAGCATTAAGTCTAGTCAAACAGTTTCATTAAAAGCAAGAAGTATGCTTAAATTTGGTATGCGGCAAGTTTTCTTGCCTTCAAAAAAGAATCTTCCCCAAAAAACACCATAAAATAAGTGACTTCTAGACAATGCAAGCAAATGGTCATCATCTGAAGCACTTTAAAGGCAACTCATAAATTGTGTAAGTCATAAGATGATCCAGTTTGACCCCCAACTGCCTTCTTCAAACACACTCCAACTTTTGATTTCTTTACTGGAGGTTTAGGTGCAAATGGGCAAAATGGCAACACACAAAGCTGGTATTCAGAAGCAAGAGAGTTAACAACAAGCCTATTAAAGGAGGAGAAATCTCTCTACTCACTGAAAAGTTGGCAATAAAGACAAAAAGTCAACAATTACACATGTATATCTTGCTTTACAAAATCAACAGTTCAAGTGAATGAAAGAAAGCATTAAATTTGGGGCATAATAGTGGTATTATGATTACGTTTTCTAAGGAGTCTATCAATTAAAGATATATAGCAAAATATTTACCACATTTTTTTAAAAAGAACTAGGAAGGGGGCCTGGGGTTGTGGCTCAGTGGTAGAGCACTCGCCTAGCACGTGCAAGGCGCTGGGTTTAATATTCAGTACCACATAAAAATAAAAATATAAAATAAATATACTGTGTCCAGCTACAACTAAAAATATATATATATTTGGGGGGGAAAAAAAAGAACTGGGAAGGGAGCTAAGAGAGAGTATATATGAAACTATACTGCCCATATCCTGCTAGCTCCTGAAGCTAAGTTAACAGGTGCAATAAGAGTTCATTATAAAATTCTCTCTACTTTTGTATGTTTGAAATTTTCCATAAATAAGTAAAATTTAAAAAATCTTTTTAATGTTTGCACACATCTGTTCTAACCAAAACAGCAATAAGGAAGGAATGACAAAAAATTTTCCAAAAATATAGTGGTAATGTTAAAAACTTAAAGCAGAACACATACTTACCACCTGGCTAACGTCATAGCCCCATGGCAGAAAAAGAATTCCTGTGTTATATTTTTCCCAGTGAGACAGGATGAAAGAAAACAAAACTACCCATAATAGGAGATAAAGAACAAAAACACTGACACCAGTTGGTCCTCGTCCAAAGATGGAATACACAGTTACAACAAAGTAAACACATGACCAACTATCCAGGCCATGGTCAAAAAGCTCCCCTAAGGGGGTGCTGGAATTGGTTCTGCGGGCTTGCTTTCCATCCACACCATCTGCAACAAAACACACATCACAAGAAAAAGGTCAACATCTGTACCAGTGGGAAAAAGTAATCCCCCACACACATACACACCGCCCAGTACCAGGGATTGAATCCAGTGGCCCTACTGAGCCATATGCCAAGACTTTTTTTTTCTTTTTGAGACAGGGTCTTGTTATGTTGCTTAGGGCCTCCCTAAGTTGCTGAGGCTGATTTTGAACTTGTGATCCTCCTGCCTCAGCCTCCTAAATTGCTGGGATTACAGGAATGCACCACCACACTTAGCTGGAAAAACTCATCGTTATTTATTTTTAAAATTTATTTGTTCTTTTTGGATATACATGACAGTAGAGTGTATTTTGACATATTATACTTACATGGAATATAACTTATTCTAATTAGGATCCCATTCTTGCGGTCGAACATGGTGTGGAGTTTCATTGGTCGTGTATTCATATATGAACATAGGAAAGTTATGTCCGATTCATTCTGTCTTCCCTATTCCCATCCCCCCTCCCTTCCATTCCTTCCCTTTTCAAAGTCATTTTTAAGAAACTGTGGGTGGGGGGGAGATCAGTACATTATAGAAACCTTAAGTGTGGCTGCCAGTCAGTACTTATAAGAATCTAATCTTTGATTACTACAACTAAAGATTTCAGAAATAAAATATAATTTCTCAAAATTTAATCTAAAAATCAAAATGTTCTATTACACTGAATGGTGTTTAACTTTAGATTTAAAAAAAGAAGCATTCTACCTGGCCTCTGAATTATTCCAAATCTGCTTACCAACTAAATTGTTCTGTTAGTCACAATTTCTGAAGCTTCCACAAAACAGTCAATAGCTGTTCATTACAATTTATCTAAGCACTCCTTGCTTTAGGATCCAAAAGTGCTTCAGTCATAATACCTATTTCATCATGTGTGAAATTAAGAGTCATTTCTTTACAGATGTACTGCTTCCATGATTTTAAGGGCTTTCAAACAATGTTCTGCAAATATAAGAAATAAGTTTGTTGAACCTGTACTATTCTTTTTATTTTTTATTTATTTGTTTTTTTAAATATTTATTTTTTGGTGTAGATGGACACAACACAATGCATTTATTTTTATGTGGTGCTGAGGATCGAACCCGGATCCCACCCGTGCTAAGAATCTTAGATTAGATGGGCATAGTGGTACATGCCTGTAATCCCAGAAACTCAGAAGGCTGAGGTAGGAGGATCACAAGTTCAAGGCCATCCATGCTCAGCGACTTAGTGAGACTCTATCTCCAAATAAAAAATAAAAAGTGTAGGTGCACATACTTGTAATCCCAGTGGTTCGGGAGGCTGAGGCAGGAGAAAGCGAGTTCAAAGCTACCCTCAGCAAAAGCAAGGCACTAAGCAACTCAGTGAGACATTGTCTCTAAATAAAAATACAAAACAGGGCTGGGAGGGGCTGGGGATGTGGCTCAAGCGGTAGAGCGCTTGCCTGGGGCCCGGGTTCGATCCTCAGCACCACATACAAACAAAGATGTTGTGTCCGTCAAAAACTAAAATAAATAAATAAATATTAAAATTCTCTCTCTCTCTCTTCTTTAAAAAAAAAAAAAAAAATAGGGCTGGGAATATGGCTCAGTAGTTGAATGTCCCTGAGTTCAATCCCTGGTACCCCCCCAAAAAATTTTTAAATAAAAATAAAAAGGACCAGAATCATGGCCAATGGTAAAGTGTCCCTGGGTTCAATCCCAAGTACCATTCACCCCCTGCCAAAACAAATTCTTAGAATAAATTAAGTTTGTGCCCTAAGAGTGTTTACATTTGAGAAAGGAACAAAATATGATAATTAAAGGTACAGTATTGTCACAAAAAAACAAAAGAGTCCAGAAAAGGAAAGGGTTCCCTTCAGGCTAAGATAATCTAGAATGGCTTTTAGGACAGGATGAAATCTGAGTGGGGACATAAAGATGAGTTAGATTTCAGTAAATAAGAGATAAGAAGTGTGCCATTTCAAGAAGGGGGATGAAGCAACAAACAATGAGGGAAAACCACAATGCAGGTTCAGAAATACAGAGATGAAAAAGCACAATGAAGTTTCAAACAATGCACATAGTTTAGTTTGACTAAAAGCTAGTATGTGAAGAAGGCAGTATAAAAAGGCTAGAAAGGGATATAGAGACAATTTAAAAGTTCAAGGGAGTAAAGTGAGCTACTAGAAGATATATGAATAGGAAAATGACAAGAGTGAAAGCAAGGCTTTAGGAAGACTCACTGTCATCATGGGAATGACTAGAAAGAGAGGACAATCATTAGTAAGCCTATATCGAGATGAGTCTAATGGGAATGAAAAGCTGGGGGCAGATGAGACATTAAAAAAGTAAAAAACAAGGGCTGGGGTTGTGGCTCAGGGGTAGAGCGCTGGCCTAGCATGTGTGAGGCACTGGGTTTGATCCTCAGAACCACATAAAAAAATAAATAAAGACATCATGTCCATCTACAACTAAACATATTATAAAAAAAAGTAAAAATAAGAGAATGCCATAGAAGACAAGACAGAAGATCTAAGGATAAGACAATCTTCAAAGTTCTAGTGTAGGTAACTAAGAAAGTGGTAGTAAAGAGAAAGAAGAAAGAAGCAACAGCAGTTAAGAGTGATAGAAAAGATGCAGAGGACAATTTTAGATACTGTTTTTAAAGAGCTGGCAGGATACTCACATGGTAATGTCAAGCAGCTCAGCCCAAGGGACTTGAAACTAGCAACTCAGAAGATGGATGAGGACAAGATATAAACATGGGAATCATCTGAATTAAGAATGTTCAGTAAGAATCAGGGACTAGGGTTGTGTCTCAGTGGTAAAGCACTTGCCTAGAATGTGTGAGACACTGGGTTCAATTCCCAGCACCACATACAAATAAATGAATAAAATAAAGATCCATCAACAACTGAAAAAAACTTCAAAAAAAAGTTAGTCCCATTATTCCTTTAAAAAAAAGAATCAGGGGGCTGGGGGTATAGCTCAGCGGTAGAGCACTCGCCTCACACATGCAAGGTCCTGGGTTCGATCCTCAGCACCACATAAAAATGAATAAATAAATAAATAAAAGTTATATAAAAAAAAAAGAATCAGGATTACCAAGGGAATTAAAAAAAAAAAAAAAAAAGCTAGTGTTAAAGCACAGTGGAACACCTTCATTTAGGGCAGAAAACAGAGGAGACTACTACAGAGAGAAGGAATACAGCAAACCAAGTTAAAATGAAAAGGGGCTGGGAAGATAGTTCAGTGGTGGAGCACTGCCTGTGTGCAGGAAACCCTGGGTTCAATCACCAGCACAGAAAAAGGGAAAAAAAAAAGAAAAAATTCCAGCCAGGCATAGTGTCCTACCTCTATAATCCTAATTATTCAGAACAGCATGAAGAATACAGATCCAGATCCAGACTGCCTAGGGTTAAATTTCAGCTCCATATTTATTAGCTGTAGACTTTGAACAAATTACTTAAATTTTGTTTCTCACGCAGGAGAGTTCTAAGTTCAAGGGCAACCTAGGCAATTGAGCAAGACCCTGTCTCAAAATAAAGATTTAAAAATGGCTGAGGAGGGCTGGGATGTAGCTCAGTGGCAAAGCGTCTATCTGCCTTGCATGTGCAAAGCCCTGGGTTTGACCCCCCAGTTCCAAAACAAACCCCCCAAAAAGAACCCCACCAAAATAAATAAACAAATAAATAAAATGGTTGAGAATGCAGTTTGGTGACAGAGCACTTGCCTAGGATGCATGACTGCCCTGGGTTTGATCCCTATTACTGAAAAGAAAGAAAGGAAGAAAGGGACGGATTCCTATTATTACTATGTTTATCTTGTTCACCATGGTATTATCGCCGGTGCCTAGATCAGTCTATGGTAAAGAGGGCATTTATAAATACTGTTGAAGGAATACATGCAAGGATGAATTCCAAATTCCTGCCTGAACCCTGCAGATCTCTATCATATAGGGTTGCAAAATTTTCTGCCCTTATGTAGCTAAAATGTTTCCTAAAAGTCTCTCCATATTACTCACAGGCTTAACAATTTCCTATTTTCAGTGCAACTTCTGCGCAGCTAGACCATAGTGAATTCCTGAAATAGCTATTAAATCTGTTTACATTTTCTCACCCACTCCAGTTCCACAAATTCAGGTATGTTTCAGATTTATTTTTTTCTTAGAAGGGAAACTTAGGAACTATCCCACATATTATGAAAGATATCCCCCTTTCTGCAGCAAAATGGATGCATAGCACATGTAGCAGAATAAAGACTATAAACGGCCTAACATTAGTTCAAGATAGGTCTTACAACGAATACTTCTTGTTAGGCCGGGGTTTTTGCCAGAAAACTGTGGACATGAGGCAACAGGTAAGACGGTACAGGACATTAAGATGATTTTTGTGAAATGCTATTATGAAAGTAAGAGCCCAGAGGCCACCCTCATTTTCCCCTATTCCTTGCAGCAGTCCTGAGCAACCAAATCATTAGCAGCAATTAAAAACTTGTTCATTTTTAATAATAAATTCAAAAAATTATATAATAATAATAACATATTTTTATTATTATTATTATTCCAAATCTTCTACCTAAATATATAACTTTTAACTAAGGTTTCCCCTAATTCTTCTAGGCTTCACTGATCTCTTCCTTCTCTAAACTCTTACAGCTCTGGTCATCCACTATATCAGCATTAATATACCAGGTTATACTGGTTTTATGAGAACAAGTCATTTTTATTTAAAAAGACCTAAGCAACTTGAAGTCAGGGTCTACTATTTTATATCTATTTAAAAACTATATACAGAATACCCACCATGTGTTAGACACTGCTTTAGGAATCCAGGATACAGCAATGAACAGAACAGTACTCATCCTCAAAGAACCTAACATTTTAGTTAGAACAGAGAGATGATAAATAAGCAAGTAAACAGAAAATGTGTTATATGGATTTAAGAGCTATGAAGAAAAACAAAGCAGGAAAGGAGGACTGAAGAATGCAAGACAAGCCATGCAGATAATCCCACTGGAAAGCACTGCGGGCAGAATAGACAGTATGGGCCTCACACAGCAGACCTCCCTGACCACTAGACTACCTCTACTGAAAATGAATTGTGTCACTTCATTATTTGTTCTCCCACTGTGCTGTTACAGCATCTCTCTCACCATTCTGCAATCATTTGCTATGTCAGTATTGCTTCCCAAACTGAAGGCAAATCTTTTGTGTTGAGCACCAGATAATAAATATTTTAGGTTCTGTGGGCCATACCCTTTGTGAGTCTCAGCTGCAAATACTCAAATGTCTCCTTAATGCCAGAACACAGCCACAGGCAACAAGTAAGGGAATGAGTGTACCTGTGTCCAGTAAAACTTTACTTATGAAAACAGACAATGGGACAGATTTGGCTTTCTAGGAGTAGTCTGTCAACTCCTATCTTATACTGTGAGTCCCCAGAAGTGAATGACAATAGGTCTCAGTGAAAATTCAAAAACATTTACCAATTTGAACTGGATATTAATAAACCCTAATTAAAATGAATTAAACATAGGAGAAAGTGTTAATGCTAATTTACCAGCCACTGACTAAAAATAAGTATTTACCAATTTCTTACCAAGAGTGTAAGCCATAAAGTTGAGGATGCCCACAACAATCCAAACCCAATCAGGTACATGCTTGTGACCTGGTGCTGCAAAAGAAAGTTACTATTTTAATACAGTCTAACTACAATTAATTCTTACCATAGCATTTACTGCCAATGAGAAGTGTTTCTATTTATTACAGATTAAAGTACTTTACAATATATTCTGAATGCATAATTAAATATTAAATGTTATCAATAAACTCTGCCAAAACCAAAGTAACTCCCTGACCTCTCATTAACAGTAAGTAATTATATTGACCTTTTATTATAACTCAAGGCTGAGTGGTTATCTTTACATGAAAATTACTTATAAGCCTAGAATAAAAAATAATGCATTTTTAGAATTTAAAAAGTGCCTGCACTTGATCTAATTCCTTTTTTATAACTTTATTTTATGCATTTATTTATTTATTTAAGTGTGCTGTGGGTTGAACCCAGTGCCTCACAAGTGCTTGGCAAGCACTTTACCATTGAACCACAACCCCTGCCCCTAATCTAATTCCTGTTACAATTAGCTATAAATATTATTGAGTCTTCATCCTATACTTTCTCACATATTATTAATTAGCAAACAAAAGATCTTTTGATTTGGGTAAAGGCAGATTACCTCAACCAGATGATTTGGGCAAAAGAACCATCTGAAATGTCTGGACTTCACTTTTCCCCGCTATGATAAAACTGAGAATCTGGTGGTCTGGGTTCTAGGCCTAGCTCTGTAATCAACCAGCATACTGCCTTAAAGATATCATTTAACCTCTCCTATCTTGCATTTCTCAAATATATTGGGACTAGATGGTTTATTTAGTCCTTCAAGTTCTATGACTTGGGGAAATATACCTAACATTTATAGATTTTTAGTTCTTTTAATAACTATGTAATAATCTTTCCCAGTGATTGAACCCAGGGTGCTTTACCACTCACTGAGCTACACTCTTAGTCCTTTTTATGTTACTTTTTATATTGAGACGAGTCTCATGAAGATATAGAGGACCTCTCTGAGCTGTCCAGGCTGGCCTCAAACTTGCGATCCTCTTGCCTCAGCTTCTCAGGTTGCTGGGATTATAAGCATGTACCACTGTGCTGGCTGAGTAAATATTCTTATTTAGAATAGTCATAGAAAATAATATTTCTAGTTACAAAAATACATTTTAATGGTGTCCTGAAAATACAAAACAAACAAAAAACCCTCAGAATATAAAAAACATGGTTAATGAAATTTAATCTGATTATTCATGTAGTATAGTACTTTTGGGGCCTCTCATGCTTTACAGTTGGCATTCAAGACTTCAATTACCATTTTATTATATATACAGAAGCTATGGTTAAGTATCATTGATAAGAGTTCAGCATATGTATAATTTCAATATTCAGAATTTCTATAACATCAAAGTCCCAAATGTCTGAAACTCCAAATTATCCTACAAAAACAATACTGTGAGTGGTTGTTGATTTTTCCAGGTCAGTCCACACAGTCTACTCAAACCACCACACAACTGACTTATATTACTATGACTCCTGACTGTATCATTTATAAGTATTCTTAGAAATATATTCTAAGTTAAATGCAAAAATTATTCATTCACCTTCACCTTTCTATTCCTTTCCATTCAATCAACTGGCTGAGCAAAAATAAATAAGTAAATAAACCTTGTCTCCCACTATCCACCCACCATCCCAAAACTCTAGGTTCTCTCCAGATATAGCCTGGGGTGAAGGATGGGTGTGGGAGAAAGCAAAGGCAGAAATGTGTGTGCAAAACAATGCTGGAGCACAGAGGAGGAGCAGGCTGAACACTGGCTCCAAAACTGCTTCTGCTCTCTAAGGGTCAGACAAATGTCAAAAATATTTAAGGTCTTAAGAATCATTTTCAGCGGTATCTGGGTCATTAAATGCCAGTAAAAAATGAGTAGAGGGAAGGACAGATCACATCCCCTTTAGATGAAAGGGGATTTTTCTCCCATAACTAAAAAAGGGAAAGTGACATCTCTGGATTGATAGGTATACTAGGCTCTACCTGTATTCATTTTTAGACAGTTTAGCAATCCTAAATTTCTGTCTTCATGCAACTCTATTCTCTACTTGCCAAAACTTCATTGCTTTTTACAGAGCATGTCTAAATTCAGTGGCAAATTGATATTATATTTCCAGAATTAAATGGAAATATACATAACATATATTCACTTGATTTTTAAAAACAGTTCTGACATCTTACATAATATCCAAAACTTTTCAAAAAAACAAGCATCTTAATAGAACCAGAAAATAACCAAGCACACCTAATTTTTCCCAACCTAGATGTTTAAAATTTTAGATTAAAGTAATATTCTTACCTGAAGCATAAAAGTCAGGATCAAAGTATGCCATAAGTAGAAAGTTAAATACAACCAGCAGAAAGCCAGAGAAGGTTATCAGATTGGGAGCCAACCAAGTAGGAAATGCCTATTTTTTCAAAATTAATTACAAAACAATTAAATCTCTGTTCATTCAATAAACATACAAATTTAAGTCATAATATAAGCTACAAATTTGAAAGCATATGCAAGAATCATATATATTAAAATGTAAACTATAATCTCTAGTTGATAGAAATAAACATTTCATTCTGTTCTCTGCATTTTAAATAATTCTATAATCTTCAAACTTTTATAACATTAAATTCTTTTTAGAAAAACTGAAAAGGCATTTCACAAAAACGATAAATGATGGTGTATAAACAGATTTCAACAATGATGAGATAAGTAAATCAAAAGGTATGTGACTATGGGAAGGGAAAAGGGTGGTTTCTCTACATATTTTCTTCTTATTTTTTAATAACTTTTTTTATTTTTTATGTGCCTCACACATGGTAGACAAGCTACAACCTCAACCTCTCTAAATATCATCTTAAACTAAGAGCTGCATCCATAAAACAGGCTAAAATACTTGAAATTTACTAAAATAAAAAGCCCGTGCCTATTAATTATCTTACCTTCACTAAAGTGTTCCAGAATGGATGCATGATGTACAAAGAGAGTGGGTTGGTATCCACAGCACTGTACTGTTAAGAAATGAAATATTCAGTTACTCCTTGCTCACTAACAAGGAGGAAAATATTTCTCAAATTAAAACCACAACACAAAAATAACCTGGAGAATACAACTATTTATATGATATCCTCAACTGAACAAATAACTGGAATATCAATATAAATAGGGCAAAGACTGTAAGTATAGTCAGGTATTACTTTTACGGTGAGGGGGAAGGGTCACAGAGAAAGTCTAATGATCAATCCCAAATCATGGAGTTAATCACACAGTGGTTGTTTAATTCACACATACCTATTCAGAGCCCAAATTGTCAGGATAAAAACTCACTCATCCTTCCCTCTAAACCAATTTTATATTGCATACTTGTTCATGGTTATTACACAGGATCAGTAAAATGAACACTGTATGCATTCAAACACTGTTGACTACACACTTTCTCAAACTCCTTTATCCCTCTCAACTTACAGGAATCTAGTTGTTCCCCTGCTACCCCGCCACCTTTGATACCATTACTAAATACACTTAGAACCTATACAACCCTGGACAAGTTACTTAACCTCTGTGTCTTAATTTATTCACCTGTAAAATGAATTATGACAGCCCTTACCTCAAAGGTTTGTCATAAGGATAAGTTAATAATATATGTGAAATACTCAGAACAGTACCTGGCCCACAGTAATTACAATATTAAGTATTAGCTATTATTATTATTAAGTGTATTCTGAGCACCAAAGAAATGACAGACCCCTTTACAAGAGGAAAGAAGATTGCATAAATAAGCAAAGAAGACAAAAATAGGGTCTAGCTGTAAGGTGATGGAACTTATTCTCTAATTACTGGGCTACTCAGTAAGAATTCAAAGGGAACTTTAACAGATGTGTATATAAATTTGTAAAACTTTAAGAGTCATGTTGAGGGGCTTAGGTTGTGGCTCAGTGGAAGAGTGCTCGCCTAGCAGGTGTAAGGCCCTGGGTTTGATCTTCAGCACTACATAAAAACAAATTAATAAAAAATAGGTATTTTGTCCAACTACAACAAAAAAATATTTTTAAAAAGTCATGTTGATACTCTCTCTACACACACACACACACACAGACACACACGAGAACTTGGCATGTAAGAAGCACTCCACATGGGCTGGGGCTGTAGCTCAGTGGCAGAGCACTTGCCTCGCATGTGTGCAGCACTGGGTTCGATCCTTAGCACCGCATAAAAAATAAACCAATAAAATAAAGGCATGCTGTCCATCTACAAATACAAAAAAATTTTAAAAAAAGAAGCACTCCATTGATTCCTCAAAAGCTTAAGAATGCAACCAACACAGGACCCTGCTATACCACTCCTTGGTATTTATTCTGAAGAATTAAAGTCATCATACTATAGGGAGCAATGCATGTATATCCCTGTCTACAGCAGCACAATTCACAATAGCCAACTATGAAACAGCCTAAGTGTTTATAAGTCAATGAATAGCAAATGTGATATATACACAATGGAGTTTTATTCAGTCATAAAGAAGAATGAAAACTATCATTTGCAGGAAAATGGATGGAACTTTAGAACACAACTAAGCAAAAAAACCAAACTTTTTCTCTCATATGTGGAAGCTAGAGAGGAAAAAGGAAAAGAAAGCTGGGTGTGGGAGAAGGATCTCATGAAATCAAAGGGGGATCATCAGTACAGGGTTGGGGGAAGAATACTGAGGAATTATACTAGCCAGATTACAGTGTTATATTTGTGTGCACGTACAAATATGTAACAAAGAGCCCCACCATTATGTAAAACTATAATGCACCAATACAATTTTTTTAATATTTATTTTTTAGATGTAGATGGATACAACACAATGCCTTTATTTTTTTTTTATATGGTGCTGAGGATCGAACCCGGGTCTCGCCCGTGCTAGGCAAGCACTCTACCGCTGAGCCACAATCCCAACCCCCCCAATACAATTTTTTTAAAGTAGCATTCCACTAGATAAAAGGAAGAAGACAAACAAAACTTGGTAAGAGATAATTCCCATCCTTAAGCAATTCACAGTATTATCCAAGGTTATATTACCTAATTCATTCATCTGACATTTAAATGATATTAGACTAGCTATTACTTTGAAAAGGTTACATTTTATGTTTATAAGCATTTGAGGATCAAATATTTTTAAAATCATAATTAAAGATCAAAATTTCTTCTTGAATGTTTATGAATATGTGGGAAATACATTCAATAAAAGTGTGATGAAACAAAAGGAAGGAAGGAAGGAAATAGAATATGATTAAAATACTGTTAGTAAAATGTTGGCGAGGATGTGGGGAAAAAGGTACACTTGTACATTGCTGGTGGGACTGCAAATTGGTGCGGCCAATTTGGAAAGCAGTATGGAGATTCCTGGGAAAGCTGGGAATGGAACCACCATTTGACTCAGCTATTGCCCTTCTCAGACTATTCCCTGAAGACCTTAAAAGAGCATACTACAGGGATACTGCTACATCGATGTTCATAGCAGCACAATTCACAATAGCTAGACTGTGGAACCAACCTAGATGCCCTTCAATAGATGAATGGATAAAAAAAAATGTGGCATTTATACACAATGGAGTATTACTCAGCACTAAAAAATGACAAAATCGTGCGTGGCATTTGCAGGGAAATGGATGGCATTAGAGCAGATTATGCTAAGTGAAGCTAGCCAATCCCTAAAAAACAAATGCCAAATGTCTTCTTTGATATAAGGAGAGCAACTAAGAACAGAGCAGGGAGGAAGAGCATGAGAAAAAGATTAACATTAAACAGGGACGAGAGGTGGGAGGGAAAGGGAGAGAGAAGGGAAATTGCATGGAAATGGAAGGAGACCCTCATTGTTATACAAAATTACATATAAGAGGATGTGAGGGGAAAGGGAAAAAAAAAAAAAACAAGGGAGAGAAATGAATTACATTAGATGGGGTAGAGAGAGAAGATGGGAGGGGAGGGGAGGGGAGGGGGGATAGTAGAGGATAGGAAAGGTAGCAGAATACAACAGTCACTAGTATGGCAATATGTAAAAACATGGATGTGTAACCGATGTGATTCTGCAATCTGTATATGGGGTAAAAATGGGAGTTCATAACCCACTTGAATCAAATGTATGAAATATGATATGTCAAGAGCTTTGTAATGTTTTGAACAACCAATAAAAAAAAGAAAAAAAAATACTGTTAGCAAAAAAAAGCAACCCATAATTCAAACGTTTATTAGACAGATTCCATATCTAAAGTTCCTCCATTTCTCTAACCCATTCTGACGAAAATAGAATAACTAGGACAAAAGGTCTGACAGGTAGTAGGAAAAAAATGATAGAGAATATTGTTTGCTTCTACTGTCCAGAATTATAGGCTATGGCATGAAAGCCAGACTCACAGGAGGAACCTATTTAAATTAAGCCTTAAATTCTTTTTGTTTTGTTTTGTTTTTTGGTACTGGGGATTGAACCCAGGAACACTTTACCACTGAGCTACATCCCCAGCCTTTTTTATTTTTTATTTTGAGAAAAGGTCTCATTAAATTGCTGCGGCTGGCCTCAAATTTGCAATCCTCTTGCCTCACTCAGCCTCCAGAGTCTCTGGGCCACTAAGCCTGGCTTAGTCTTATATTCTTACTAAATTTTCACTGAACTTTTAACTCTTACTAAGCTTTCAACCTTCACTGGCATAGTACTCTACTATTTACAGGCCTTTACTACATAATATATATCATCATCACATCAGAACCTCTACAGAACGAAGGAATCCTAAACTGATAGGATCATCTGAACTTAAATGAACCAATATGAACCCCTGATACTGCCTATGAAAAAGTGGGAGGGCCCTGGCTACTCTCACTTCACAAATCTGTACCTAGAACCACGTGATATAGCCACTAGGCCAGATAAACTGGAAAATCATCCCTTTCAAGTTCTCCATCGATTGCAAAGTACAAAGTTATAAGAAATTCAAATCACAAAAAAAAAAAGATTAATGTATCACATGAATACTTAATACAGTACACAAAGTACAATGTTCTTAATTCAAATGTTTATTGAATGAGTCTCATTCAGTAGTTTTCCATAATTTTAATTTAGACCTAGAAGAAAGTCCTTTATGAGCCAGGTGTGGTAGTACACATCTATAATCCCACAAATGAGGCATAACATAGGAGGATAGTAAGTTCAAGGCCAACTTGGGCAACTTGGCAAGACCCTGTCTCAAAATAAAAAAGGGCTGGAGATGTAGTTCAGTGGCAGAGCTCCCTTGGGTCCAATCCCTAATATGGGGCAGGGGAGGTCCTGAACTGACAGTATGTTGACATGAAAAACTCTTTTTAAATTCTGAAACTTTATTTCTAAATTTCTATTTCAGAGGACCAGTAAAAGTAAAGAATACAGAGTTAAATACAAGAAGGCCTGTTTGCCTACTTGGATTTCAATTATTTGACATTCAATAATAGCTGATGAGAGCTCAAGTACAGCAAGAAAGATTAATGAGATTATAAAAGGCACCAAACAATAAACCTAAACAACACTAAGTACTCTAGCCGTAATTACACATCTGACTATTTCTTAAGGTCCTATATCACTTGATATAAACAAAGAAACTCTACACGGTCTAGTGAATCAACAGGAGGAAGAATAACTTAAACCTTCCATATGTATCAGGAAAAAAAATACAATTTTAAAGGTGCTAAGGTATTCATTAATAAATTAAGGGTATTTATTGAATTAAATTAAATTAATTTAATAAATTAAAAGTACTTATTAATGTTTGTTGAATATACTTCTATTGTGCATATACCAGAAACCTAAACCTACTATCTAAACCAGTTAACACCTAGCGTGACTTCCTTGGCTCTACAATGCATTAGGCCCTGGAAAAATGATCAAGGATCATAGCCTGAGTTGGAGAGAATCATTTCAAAGCAAAAAAAATCTCTAATCATAAGCATGCTCAGAGGACGTCTAACCTAATACTCCATTGTGTGTCTTACCCTCTTCTAGGAG